CCATCACGAGGGTCCCACCTTGTGATACAAAAACCTCCCAGAGTCCCCACCACCCCCACCTAATACCAGCAGCCCGCAGGATAGGAATTTGGGGAAGCGGAGAGGCACAAAACTCCACACCATATCAGATGAATGGTTTTATTCTAGAAGATTTTCTGTGTTTCACAGGATCCTGCTTTCTACCCCTGTACTCCTTTGTACTGATTTTAGAATGTTTCACCTCAAATGTTTAGCTTGCTGGTTCATGTTCAGTTATATCCATTTTACTACTATTTGAGTTTATTTTAAAGAACTAAGCTTTACTGTGAGTTTTAGGTTTTCTTTTTGGATTTCCATTTTTTTTTTTAGATTTCTGTTTTTTTAATGTGATTTATCAATATGTGTAATGTATAATAAAATGTGTATAATGCTAAATTTAGCATCCTAGTCATACAGTTCAGTAGCATTCAGATCTTAGCCCACCCATCCCCACTTTTGAATTCCAAAATTCTTTCTATATTGCAGAGCTGAAACTGTACACACATTAAACAATAACTCTGTATGTCTCTTTATCGCCAGCCTCGGGCAACTAACATTCTAGTTTTCTGTCTTTATGAATTTAACACTCCAGCTACCTCATATAAGTGAAATCATACAGTATTTGATCTTTTGTATATGATTCATTTTACTTAGCATAATGTCTATAAGGTTGATCCATGTGACACCTCATGTCAAAATGTCATTCCTTGTACAGGTGACTAATGCTCCATGGTATTGATATATTACATCCATTCATTCATTCGTTCCACTGATTGATCATTCATCTATTGATAGATATTCAGCATTGGCTCCATGTTTTGACTATTGTAAAAAATGCTTCTATGACATGAGTATAAATGTATCTCTTAGATATCTGCTTTCAGTTCTTCTGAGCATCTGGTTGGTTTTTGTTTGTTTGTTTTTTATTTTGTTTTGTTTTTGCCTTCTCTAATTAGAATGGATCACAACCACGTAGGTCTTTGAGTAGAGACTAATTTGGATTGTGTCCTGGACACTGCGGTGAGTCTTGTATGACAGTGTACTGGATTCTCTTATAATCCTCTGCAAGTGCTGATTTTTTTCATTTGTTTTAGAAGATCATTAGCTTAAGGAGATCCAGATTTTAAGCTGCCTTTTGTCTGTGTGTACAGAGATTCACATCTCAGTTTAGTTTCAAGTGTGCCATGCCACTTTGGGCCTGTTCCACAAAAACATTAGCAATGAATCGATGCAAACCTTGCAGGCTTCACACACAGAATTAGGGAAGCCAGCTCTTCGCAGTGCTCTCTTTCGCTTCATCTCCCTGTCACTCTCTGGCAGTCAGCCATGGTTATCTGGCCACTTTCCCTTGATTCTCCTGGCTGTTTTGTTTTCGTTTGGGAGTTCTAGTTGCCTATGACTGGTCACTCCATGACTACAGGCAACCTTCAGTGTAAACTTCCACCAGCGAGAAGCTCAGCCCCAACCCAAGTCATTTTTCCAAGTTTTGATTCCGCCCAGCAATCTGCCTCAGTTCGTTTACTATTTGAATCATCAGGGAGTATTTTCTTTATGGTTCACTCAAAGTTTACAGTTTTAACCAGGAAGGTTGATCTAAAGGTAAACTCTTTTTAAGGTCTCATTTCTCTACATCTTAAAGTAATTCAGTCCATATTTCTTGTCCTATCCTTACACGGAGTCTTATGGGGCTTATTAGATGAAGCACAATTTAGTAACCAAAATCCATTAAAAGCAATTCAAACAATATAGGTCTCTCTCAAAATGTTGATGAAAATATAATCAAAATGCACAGCAACACTTTTGAAATTATCTTTCCCCATTACCTTAGCTTTGATTTTATCTTATGGCTGTATTTGCTTTGAAGCTTCACTCTAAAGTCCTAAATAAACTTGAGACTCACTCAGCCCACATAGGTTTTTCATTCTTTCCTCTTCGTCCTATTCCAATTTCTCTTTTATAGAAGCACTGTGTAGTCTACCCTTTCACTGTGCAACAATTGAACTGATCCTTTTCTTTGCAACATTTGTCCCTACTACTCTTCTTGGGAGCAACTTAAACCCAGAAACAAAAATGACGAACTCAGAATCCTCCTGAGAAAATGATATATCCCTGAGCAGGGAAGCTAACTAACTGTTCAAAGATAAGAATGTGTTTCGGCAAGAGCCAATGTGTTTGAGAGTGAAAAAAGAGAAAATTATAAAAATCAAATTCATAACTTAATACTT